ATACTCTTTTGCATGGTGGAGAGTTAAGATTTCTTTGCAGCTCCCCTTGTTTGAGAAAAAGCTTTCAGTGCTTACTTGACAATCATGAAATACTTTATGTGGCTATACACTTTGATTTCTTTACTTGTCACACATTTTGGGAGCATGCATACTTTTATACTGTTATTCATATATTGGTGGCAAGTGATGTTTTTGATGATTGAACTCTATTTTGCTACTCTTTTTTTCGGCACCGTTTTGTCAAGTGAAATATTGCATTATGATTTACATCATTATTTTTACAAGACACAAATATCCTACTTATGATTTGGTTTCTTAAGATTATGATTTGATATTCTGATTTTATTATTCAATTTATCTGCTTTAAGCTTGTTTCCCATCTGTTGGGTTGAGCCCTACAACCAATTGCAATTGGTGAAGGCTTGATTCCAATCATGCAACAACATTATTCATATTGAATGATTAAAGGTTTTCCTTCATCAATAAGACATCAATTATAACAAGTTATAAAGTCTAATTAGATGAAGTCCATGAGATTAATATGCCTTGCAAGAAAATTGTAATGGGTTATAGTTATGATATTATTATGCATCAAAGCGTAATCTCAAAAATGTTCTTGGTCAATGCATCATCGAGACTAGACATCAATGATGCCTAGAGACTAGTACATTCTATATTTCTTACTTGAGAAGTGAGCAACCAATCTCATAGGTTGAAGTATAGAGATACTTGGAACTAGAATGTAGGTGCTTGCCTAAGAGAGCAAGTTCACTGAACATGACCCACCGTGAGAAGTGCATTTGGTATTTCACTAAAGTGTCTATGCAATACTTCTCATGTGTCAGTTTTGTAAATACTCACTAGACTTGAGACACCAAGTTATCTTATGTGTCAGTTTTGTAAATACTCCTTAGACTTGTAGCTGTTAGAAATTGCTTTATCAAAGCAAATTCTTCAACCTTTAAGGCTACTACATTAATCATTCTCAAGCTTATGGCTTTCTTCATAGCCTATACCACAATTTGCAAAACTAGCTTTCTATCACACATACGCAATTAGAACATTAATTTCAACATATCTATTTCAACTTTTATGGTATGCCAAGATCATCCTTTGGGCATATTTCACTACTAGCAATCATATACCTTTACCATAACATTTAATAAAAACTTGGTTGAGCAATTGTCTCCAAATAACTCTTAAATACATAAATATCAAATTGTACACCACTTAGTGTTGAGATCTTGTCTTACTCACCAATCCTTAACCAATTACATTTATAAGGTGGACAATTCACTTAATTATTGCATCTCACCTTGACGATCATAAGATCTACGTCTCTTAAACTTAGGATGTAGAAGCTCCCTCTTAGAGCTTATCCAAAAATCAACATTTTTCTAAGTCCTTTACCTTTGTAGAATTCACACTTAAGGCCAATCATTTATATCATAGGTTGCATACTGATCCAAATAGATTCTTAAATTAATCTTTAAGGCAATTGTATATCAAGCTGAAATATAAAACTCCATATAACGTTTAGACTAGAACCAACATTTCTAAGTCATTTGACTTTAACGTACCAAATCCACAACTAGTCCTTCAATATTTTGGCTTCACGCTAGCATAGCAAAATTCAAGCTCATCCTTCGAGCATATTTGTTTCATAGCCTTTTACTTCATGACCACATATCAATTATAACAATCACTGATTTTCACCCTTGAGCTGATTCATATACTTATAACTATAAACCATAATAGTTCTAATCAAGTCTTGGGATTTCACAGTCACTTAATCGAAATCAAAACCAGCTCCATCTGAAAGGCCGAACACCATTTATATATGGGTATGGCAAGCTTAGTTAACACAGTGCACTTACCTCCGTGCACATGAGTATTGGTTTTCACCTCCCTCAATACTCAAAGTTATAAACCTCAAGTGAATCACAACAATCACTATTCATTCCAGTCAAGGTGTGCCCCTTATTACCATTATTGTACACACTCCTTAGTATTGACCTTAATAACAATCCAATGTCATCCAATTTCTTTCCATTGACAATTATAGGCTTAAGTTATAGCTTCACCAAATGAATAAGTTATTACAGACCTATTAGTCCTGCTCCACCTTCCTCCATTCGTTTTGTTGGCTATTTCTTTGGTGTGGAAGGATATCACAAGGGTGAACTCAAAATGGCCTTGCGAAAGCTTCCTTTTACTTTCTTGTTTCTTTCATGGGCGGATTTGCCAAAGCTTGCTGACTTTGGGCATATTTCTTTTACCTTTTATGTGGTAAAAATCATAAGACAAAGGCAATTTGAAACTTTGTCACCTGTCACTCTCATTTTCCATTGTTTTTCTTTCAATTTCTTTATTTATTCCTCATACCAATTAGACCAACTCACTCCCCACTCGCATTTCATGCAAAAATTATCTCTTTTGGTTATTGGTCCTAATTCTGTCCTAATAGCTTCCCATCTGCCACCTCACTTCCTCATTGTTTTCTTTCCTCTCATTTTGCTTACTCATGGGCGGATTGCCCAAAGTTACTTCCTTTTTCCATTCTTTTCTTTTCTTTTCTCTTTAGATGTCATGCCATTCAACTTCTCTCTTCGTTATTATCACCACCTCCCATTGGTGGCTTGTTCACGTAATGTTTCCTTTTATTTCATTTGCATTACATTTCACATGTATTTTATTGCATTTCATTTTCATTACCTTTTAATGCCAACTTATCACCCAATAATATTTTATGCTATGATTATACATTTTCCTTTTCAAATCACATTGCCATCCTTATGTTGTTTACTATAGGCTATCCTTGCCAAACCATGGTTTTCTCCCATTTAAATACTTTGTATTCCTTTTTCTCTTTACCAACTTTCACATGGTGGGGTCTCACATTTTTTCCACTAACTTCCTGCCTTTTCAATGCAATTATTTGCATGTAATAGTAACTTTTACATTTATATCTCATATTCCTCATAATCTAACCTTCCTCGGTTTGTTAATGTCCATTTAATTAAAATTGCTCTTATGTCCTCAAACTTTTCCTTATTTACCATTTAACCCTCCAAACTTTGATCCTTTCAACATGTTTTAAACTCTAATTTTCTTCTATCTTCCTTCCTTTACACGTGTACAATCAAAATATAAAATTTGCACTTCACCAAGGTATCACCATAATATTTAAATATATACTTACTTGTGCTAGCTTTATTTAATAAAGATATACGAGTCCCACTAATGCCCTTTTTCTTCAAAATCTTTTCTTACTTCTTCTCCCCCACTTAGATTAGTGATATAATCCTTCTTCATGACTAATTTCGATAACATTTAAAATATTGATACTTTAATATTATTTTATTAATAAAATATTATTTTATTTCTAAATTTTTCACTTGTCTCCTTGAGACCCAAAATGTCTCACTTTGTCTTGGTTCACCTCCGATTCACCTTTTAACTTGCTAATATATCTTCGATAAAAATATTATTATTTAATTACTATATTTTCGCATGTGAAATATTTTCTTCCAAACTATTCCTTTCACCCTTCATCACTCTTAAAAACTCTAATTAACCTAAATTGGTATTTGATAAGCTCTGTTACCCACCATATTCATGTACGGGGTGTTGCAGCGGCTTTCTCAGGGCAAATTATTACGTTTATGGCAATGGTGGGGAGATCTTGATATTGCTACACATTGCGGTTTTCGGGTTGTACGAAAATGCCCTGATCTGCTAAAAATTATTTACAAATATAAACCATTGATAGGTGAATTTAAGTTGAACGTTGATGGTAGTTCCAAAGATTCCTTTCATAAGGTTGTTAGTGGAGGTATCGTTCGGGACCGTATAGGCAATATGATTTTTGGCTTCTCTGAAAATTTTGGACCCAATAATTCATTTCAGGTAGAGTTAATAGCATTACAACGTGGTTTGTTTTTATGTATTGAGTACAATGTGTCTAGAGTTTGGATTGAATGGATGCAAAAGTGG